AAAGAACTAGGTCGTATGACGTGTTGTCCGACTAAATCGGAAGGCAAAAGTGTTTATTGCTGTTTCCAGACAGCTGCACTTGCAGGCAGAGTAAAAAGCCTGTTATCATAGAGAGAGGAGCCGCCATAATTGTTTAAATATGGGGATAATGATGCATATTTTCAGACAGTCAGAATGTCTGGAAGACATTTATAGTGTTGTACTCGTTTGTACACACGAAAAGTGACAGAAATAGTTGTTTAAAGAATGAAAAAGAGAGCTTGGGAGAGAAGGTGAGAGTGTTAGCAAGGTTTACCCCGCTAACTCTCTCACCTTTGCTCGTCTGGTTGTTGTGTAAATTGGGTGCGAATTTTCGAAATAAGTTGGCCCTTTTACTGTCTGCCTTTGTAATTCCTGCTTGCAGGTGTCTCGCAGGTTTTGAGGTTGATAGACTGAAATGTAAATGACTGCCTGCCTGGTTACATTTAAATGCAGGGTAAGCAAATTAAAGAAACACATACAAAATTTAAAGGGGTGCATTGGTGGGGGTTGTTCCAATCCAGAAAGTGTAGTTTGAGAACAATAAATCAATGAGTTTGAAGGCTTATCAGACGCCAGAACACTGCACAGTTGTTTCTACTGTAGTACTAGGGCCATGTCGGGAATAAGACTTGACTCTATAGTTGGGGGGGACCAGATTTTGGTATCGAAAGCGTTCTGGTCTGTTTGTAGTTGAGTAATATTGACTAATCAAGTATAAGCAGCTTTGGTTGCAGGTACAGTCCATTTGGAGAGCGAAAGAGGTGGGATGCAAATGCTAATACTCTGAAATTGCCATAGATTTTTATTACCTTTTTTAAAATTTATTGGCAACTTTACTTTCGGTTGAGGATGATGATCCACCTAGTCGGCCGCTGAGGTTTTGTAAGTTGGATCATTCTTAGTCTGGATCATCATCGTTGACCTTACCACCATAGGTAAACATGCCAGAAGTATATATATATATATATGTTTATAAAGATTACCAGAAATATAACAAAATTCTAGAACAATGAAATCGTAGACGTCGTCTCTCCAGCTCCATTCTCGCATCTTAAGTTGCTAATCGGACTGTAAACAATGACCGGCACAAGGAAGAGGAAGTCTTGGCACACACACTCATAATAACAATATCCAATATCTGGATGTCCACTGGCTACACAGGAATCCCCGACACATTGCTGTTGCCCCCAGAGGGCTAAATCATCGTCAGACAATAGACGATAGGTTCCAAGATTGTAGCTAAAGTTGATCCTGGTTCAACTTTTGTCTTTTTTTGTTGGAGCCCTCTGTGTCGGGATCTCCGCTGCATCAACAGAGAGGCTTCATTGAAATGAGAGGGCTGCATTGTCTAATACAGCAGGACCCCCGTTAAAAAAAAAGTAATGACCATCCGTCTAACTTGATTGTTTTTTTTGGCTGCCTGTCTGTCTCTCTGATTAAATCTCACTGTCTGACTGTCTCACTGCCTTACTGCCTGTCTAATTTACATCATACTTACTATCTAAACTTATCCTTCAGAAATCGGTCTGCCTCATCTTGACTGTTTACTGTCCGACCATCTGTCTAACTTACATCATACTTTTATGTTTTACTAACTGCTGTCTGTCTTACTATCTAACTTTCTTGCTTACTCACTGTCTGTCTTGTTGTCTTTAAAAAAAAGAAAGGGTTTTTCTGTCGTGCTCTCTGTCTCACTGCCTGTCTTATACACATGTCTCTTCTCCTGGTTTCAATTATAAATACAGACAAAATGAGAACGTACTCACACACACACACACACACACACACAGACTAAACACCACTGAGCCAGAACAGAGACACAGTCTGATCTGCTGTGTTAGGAAACCCTATCAGTCACACAGGCTTTACTTTCTGTGTGTGTGTGTGTGTGTGTGTGTGTGTGTGTTTGTGCATGTCTTAGCTTCGTGATGAGTGATCAACAAATCCAAAAACCTCCCAGACACACACACACACACACACCCACACACACACACACACAGGCTGTAATAGGCTTATCCAGTGCTGCAGTTTCAGCCTTTAAACTGGGACTTTTTTTCTTTTGCTGTTGAGGATGAAATGATATTCTCTATCTGCTAAAACAATATTGACTTCTAAAGAAACCTTCCTACGTGTGTCTGCTGCTTCCCTTTCATCTTTTCTTTCATTCTTTCTTTCTTTCTTTCTTCCCCTTCCCTTTCCTTGTCCTCTCTACCATCTCTTTTGTTTCTTCTTTCCATTTTTTTATCTTCCATCTTATCTCTTACACTCTGCCGTCTGTTTTCCCTCCTTTGTTCTTTATTGTCCTTCTTTCCCTCCATCCCCTTCTCCTCTCTCTTATTCTTTAATCTTTCATCCTCCTTTTATTTCTTCTGCCATGTCTACTTCCATCTTTTTATTCTCTCATCTATTATCTCTTGTTTTCCTCCTGATGTTCCTCTTCTCTCCCTTCCTCCCCTTTACACCTCTCTCTCTTTCTGTCTGACACTACACCTCTCTCTTTCCCTCACATCACATCCTCCTCCCCCTCCCTCTCTCTCTCTCTCCCCTTCTTCATGCTCCGTCTATCGCCCTCCCTCCCTCTTCCTCATTATTCGGTATAATCGGTTGTCTAGACAGAAACTCCCCACACAGATCTCACCTGAGAGAGAGAGTGATGTAGGGAGCAGAGAAAAAAAGAGACAAAGAAAAGGAATGAGACAGAAGAGAGGGAGAAAAGAGGTGATAAAATCATTTCCTTTTTTTTCCTCCGCTTAAATCCTCCAAGTGTTTGAGAGGAAAATCTGTCTGAGACATAAAACACACTGATTGAAGGAGAGAGAGAGAGAGAGAGAAAGGGAGGGAGGGAGGGAAGAAAGACTAAAGGGTCTGGCAAACACACACACACGGAGGCCCTTGGAGAAACTGCAGCTTGACAAAATGAAATACATTCATTAGTTTTGTTCACTATAGTCTAGACTGTTTGATTTGTGTGTGTGTGTGTGTGTGTGTGTGTGTGTGTGTGTGTTTGTGTGTGCTCTTGTACTTCTATCATTGTGAGCACCACTTTGCTAGACCTTCAGAGTGAGGACACTTTGACGACATTTACAGCTGGTATTACTGCAACATGCAATTTGTGTCTGGATATCTGTATGGATAAAGAAAAATGCATGTTAAAGGAACAGTTAAAGGAACGTTTTAGAAAAAAGTAAGTTAGCACTGCAGCTAGCTGACCACTAGAGAGTCAAAGTTCACATCTGGGCTGGCCTCTGTTATTCAATTTCTCACTCATCTATCTTTCTGAAAAAAAAGGTATCTACATGAGGTTTCAATATTCAACTTCAATATTCAATATTAATGCAAAACTACGGTCATGCTAAGGTAACAAAACACATTGATTCTTATTTTAAGGTGATCATACACTAACGAAAACATTTCTATGAATATTGTATTCTATTTCATCTTTTAGATTCTCTTAAATGTTACACACTAGACCTTTAATCTATAGATAAACAGATATGTAAAAACAACAAATTGGGGTTTTGCAGAGGTAATATGCAGTTTTGCAATTTCTTAACAAATAGTGGCTGCATGCAGTAACTTTCTGTCAACCTCAGTGTAATGACACGACTCTAGGAAGTCTCAGGCTTTTTTTTACTAACGGAGCTTTTTTACAGTGCATATATTAATTAATACTGCCATATTAGCTGAGTGTCGAATTCTCTGTGTATAGTGTCTGTTATGTAGGGAGTAGTGAATGAGTGATGGTCTCTCTCGACTAAACTGCTGGTTCATCACTCAAAAACTTGTATCTTAATACATTTTTCACAACAGCCATTTAACATAAAAAAAAAAAAAAGATAAACACAGGTGTTACCAATTACCAGACCTAATTCAGGTCAGAGTCAGGGTGCTGTTGGCTCACTGGAAAGGCTCTGCTACACTCAGGGTCTATTATGGTTTTAGAAAAGCCCAGCTGACCACCAACCAGCCTGCTTTTATTCTACTTAATGAAAATCATCCCACAAATCTTTATATCCTTCTTTCTTCTTCTTTCTCAAACACACTTTGTCTGTTGATGTAACTCCTTCATGTCTCTGTACAGTACTCTGCATCCAACTGATACTTTGATGACATTGACTATATGTTATCAGCCCCAGGTGTGTGTCTACATTAATATCTTTTTAAATAAATCCAACATGATACAGAAACTGTAGATGCGCACTGCCCCCTAAAGGTCACAGGGTGTACTGCATGGACTTTTTCTACTTATTTACCAAGACTGATCGTACAGCTTCTGCATTTGTTATCAGAGATAAGCATTCACTGTTAATAATGCTAATATTACTCCTAAAAAAAACTATTGCTTGTGCTAATTATTGAATAATTTAGGTTTACCAGGACATCAGTGACTCACAAACCTGAGATCAGATGCACCCGGTTGCACTGATTTCACAGGGAAAGCCTTGATGCCTAATGTTGAATTCAATTTAGGAGTAAAAAGTCTCCAAAACCTACAATGGGATATAGAATCAGCTAACAGGAAACACCTGCAGTCCTCATGATTAGACTCTTAATAAGGCCCTTAAGCTCCCTGAGCTCAACTAATGAAGTGAAGCAGAGTGAGATCAGAAAAGAAGAGGGAGTGTGTCTGGAAGAAAAAAATAATGAAAAAAACATAATAGAAATATTTAAACACTTAGCAAACAATGTTGCTTTGACAAATAACTGATGTTATTATCGATTTCACAATAACAAGAACAACATATTTATATTTGAGCACACAGAAACACACACCTACATAGACTAAAGGGGAGGCTGAAGTTCTTAAGTTTACCGCTTTTAGTGTCTGTATTTCAGGCTGGTGGTCTTATTCTTTTATTCTTCCTTTTAAGGCAACTGTACCAATGACTTTGTCCAACAACTTCCTGGTTGTGGCTTCCGAGCTATAAAATATTCTACCCAGCAACAGTGGTGTAATCGTATCTGACTGGCTGCGGAGTAAAGCTCAGCAGTTTGAGGTTCCTGCTTCAGCTGTTTTGTTCTCTGAATACAGTCAGCAGGTGGTTTTGGATTTGAGATGACTCTGTCTGTGATCACACTGATCATATTCACTGGAGCTGTTTGTACTTCTGCAACAAGTAAGAACTGAACTGCAGCTTTTGTCAGGGCTCACATGGATTTCTGTGAGGGACTGTAAAGTGAAAGCATAAGATTATAATCAGCTTTATTTTTTTCTCAGGGTCAATTTAATTTTTTTGCAAACATGTGTGAGAAGACTTGACAGACAAGCCTTAAAATATGTATTTTTGTAAACAAAAACAAATAAATGAAGGGTTTATCACAGACAGAAAAGTAAGATGGAAGAACAGGAAGAGAAAAAAAAGAACTTGCTTCATGTGTTTGTGAAAATGTGTGTTGAACACCAAAATCCCTTTAGGGGGGTTTAAAATGGGATTTGTTATGTATTTTTCCTTTTTGCAGAGGGGATGTTGTCTGAACCAAGATTTATATTTCACGTCAGCCATCCCTTGTGGGAAAAAAAGAAACAGTTAAATCAAAATATGGGGTCTTACATTGTTTGCTTGCATCGTTCTTGTGAAATACCAGGGTTTTACTTCTCTGTGCCTCTGACAATTACTCAGATTCTACAATCTAAGAGGTTTTAGAGGAGAAAATCATTCTCTGGTTAAACTCCTCACAACTCATTGACACATTCAGCCTTTGACGAGGTGTTGCAAGCATTACAGCTGTCTGAAGCGTAAATACCAAATGTTTTACCTTCCAGAGTGTTGCTGTAAATTAATATCAGCACAGTATGGAGATCAACATACAGAGTGTTTTAACTGCTTTCATCTTGTGATTCTGTTTCATCTCCTGCTTTTCAGGGCCCTACCATGACTTCCACTACATCTACGGGTGCTATGAATCCACTGAGGTGCGGGTGGATGTGGTGCTTGACGAAGACGAGGTCGCGTACGCTGATTTTAACAAGGGAGAAATGGTGCTTGCGATGCCTCACCTGCCGGAAAGTCTAGCAGCCTTTAAGAAACGGGCATATGCGATTGCCAAAACTAGCCTTCATCACTGTCAAAGTGTTTTGAGTAAAGCAAAAAAAGCGGATCCTGGTGCTCCCATGCGACAAGGTAAGACACAGTTTATTTTAGGCCAAAATTCATTTGACAGATCAAACCAGGAGCCACTCACTCATTCACTGTCTGTGACTTATAGCCTCAAAGGGCTGAACAGTGGGTAGCCTACCTGCCTGCATTACACACAAACCACCGTTAGTGCTCCTGGCAAGCACTGGACTTCTGGTGGTGCATTCATTAAACAGATAATCCGTAACTTTCTTTCTGGGGACAAATATGAAGGCACATATGACACCTTTTTAATAACAAAAAATGTTTGTGTAATTGAGTTGCCTTCATAAGATCATACTTATAAATATATAATTATAATAAAATGATCTAAGCTAGAATTCAAACCTAAACTGAACCTAAAAGTTAGAGGCTAGCTGGCAAAAATAGTGTAGTGTGAAGTTTCAGATATCTTTCTCAGGTCTAAAAGAGACTAAATATTATACTTACATTTGAACAGAACACGACTCCAAATGATTGCTGTTGCCCTGTGTCGGCTCAGTGTGTAAATAAGACACAATTTACTAACACATTTGCCCTTTCAACTCAAAGGTGATGTGTGAAGTGTTATTACTTGTAGCAGATTGTGTTACATTTTTGCCAGACCCAGCACAGTATTCCCTGGAATTTCATCAACTCCAGTACCTATGTGGAAGACTAAAAGTGTTGGTTTGGAGGTCGAGGTGGAGGATGTTGGTGGAGATCAGAGAGTCATTACAGACATGCAATTAATGATCGCCTTGTCTTTAAACACGATCTATCACTCATCTTAACCATGTAACCATCCTCCTAATGTAAAAATGGGAAATGGGAAAATAAAAATGACCACATGCAATCCGAGCAAAGGTCTTTTATGAAGGTTTTTGTTTTTATATTATAATGAAATTAATTGTTAATTCTTGTATTATATGTGGGGATAATGTGGGGAATAACACCCTCTAAAAATATCCTCACTTCTTTTCTGTTCTATTCACTGACCAGCTGCTCCAGACAGCTTCGTCTACAGCCGGTATGAGGGGGAGGACGGTGTGGTGAACACTCTCTTCTGTTTGGCCAACCACTTCTACCCTCCCACCATCAATTTCACATGGACAAAGAACGGTGTGGAGGTCACAGAGGGGGTATCGAACCTGCGTTACCGCCACAACAGTGACGGGACGTTCCACAGAATTTCCACAATGAGTTTCGTTCCTCGGGAGGGAGACGTTTACTCCTGTTCAGTGGAGCACCAAGCCTCACTGCGGCCTCTCTCCAGCAGCTGGGGTAAGACTAAGAGATGTTAGTGTTACATTATTATTAAAGGGGAATACTGACAAATGTATGCATCCAAAATGATTTCCAAAACACAATTTTTTCATAAATTTACGAATTTAATCTCAGAATCTTTAAAATTATAATAATAATTATAATATTATGGCCCTAATACGCTTACTTACTAACATCTGAAAATCTAGAAAAGCACTTGTGCTGTAACATTGAGCATGATTGTAGTTGTTTGTTTGGGAGGAATTCAGTTGCCATTTTTTTTATCTACCTCTTGTTCATGTGGAAGATAAATGGACTGGAGTGTAAATTGGACAAATGAATGTAATGTATAATGTGCCTTGAAAAAGATAAAATCAGCTGTGGTTGTTTGTGTTCGATCCACAGAGCTGAACAAGAGGAAGAGCGGTCTGAGTCCTGCCGCTGGGTTCTTTATAGTGAGCCTGGTTTTGTGCCTGACGGGAATCGGGACCGGAGCCTTCTTATTCATCAAGCAGCCAAACTAGTGCCTTCACTTCTGGGATTTCACTGAGAGCAGCTCAACCAGAAGCTGTAGCTAAGCACTCACATGTTTTCAGAGATGCTTACCCTTTTTTGTTTTTTTCACCATTAATGTAACAGGATCCTCAAACAGCCTCTTCTCTTCAATGGGGGTTGTTGGTAAACCCATAAAAAACACATTAACACCTCACCACATTTCAGCCAGGAACATTACACACACGTCTTGTGTGGAGACAACTGGATTTATTATAAATTATTCACAGGGAACTTCAAAGAATGTGCATTGTGACTTGACTTCTTGACTGGATTTTTTAATTTTTTTTGCTTTATAATCTGTTTTTTTAAAAGTAAAGGACTAAAACTTGATTGATTTGATTTTGAATGATTAGTCACATCAGACTCTATAACATTAGGATTCTTGTTGATATTATTAGGATTAAGAAAAACTCTGAAGTCACATGCTGTAGTGTTTGCAGGTTTGCAAGTGAATAAGAAAATCTCTTAACCGAGAACTTTAACATTAGAAGTTACTCTGATGAGTCCTGATAGCTCACCTGGTAGAGCTCTATGTAACCAGACTGAGTCCTTACTGCAGCGGCAATGGGTTCGACTCCAACCTGCAGCCCTTTGTTGTACGTCATCTCCTCTCTCTCTCTCTCTCTCTCTCTCTCTCTCTCTCTCTCTCTCTCTCTCACACACACACACACACCTTTCCTATCACTCTTAATCTTAATCTAGGTTAAAGGCAATGAAAGACCCCAAAAATATGTTTAAAAAAAAACCAAGTTAATCTGCTCTGTAATAATCCCTAAAATGCACATGAAGAGGAGATCCTGTAAATGTTTCTCACATATTTTGGTGAAAACATCTGGATTTCTTGTGAGTCGTACCATGTTGATAGTGGCTGGTGAGACTCTGAGGACCCTCCTCCTCAGAGCTGGAATCCAGTTAGTGAATCAGTGCACTGAAAATAACTGTGGAGACACAAAGTGCAGGATAAACAGGTTAGTACCACTGTTGGAAAGCCCAGCAGTGACACCTAGTGGAGTGGCACATTAACCAGAACCTGCTGTTGCACTGTGCCATCAGATGAGTAGATGGTTATAAGTGGGTCCATAACAGGGGCGTTTCCAGAAGGGGCGGGCCTGAAATCTGATTGGCCACCCCAAGTGCTACCCCATCATCCTTTACCTCTTCAACTGACTCTCAGAGGCTGTAGCGGGCTACATTTGAAAGAAACATCATAAAACATCATGCAAGCATGTTGGGAAGGAGGTTAAATAAAGCTTCGAAGCTACTTCATGCCTAAAAAGCATTATAACACCAAAAGGTCACAAAGAAACACTGTAAACTATTTTGGTATGCTTTAAGAATTTGTAATATTATTAATTGGTTGTTTTTTATGCTCAAACCAGTTCTTAAAGAATAATGATAATGACTATTGTAGCGTACAAAATGTCTCTGTTCTTCCTGATTTGTTAATGACATAACGGAAACCAGGAAGCATTTGATTATTAAAATTTAGGGCACCAAACTTTCTAAGACAAGGCAACTTTATTTGTATAGCACATTTCATACACCAATTCAATATGATTTACAGGGTAATAAAAGTGCAACAAAGACAAAATATTTCTAATTTAAAAAGTGCAAACGTACAGACCAGTGACAGCTGATTAAGGTGGGATGATGTTTTTCAGCATTTTCTTACAAAGTAAAGGTCTCTTCCAAATATACGTCTGTTTTTGTTTTAAAATAGTATCTTATAATTTACTTACTAAGTTTTTACTACATACTGTCAATGTTTTTTTTACTCATATTGGCTGCAATACCTCCCTTTCACCACAAGGTGTCACTAAAACGCGGTGTACTGTCGGTGTTCCCTTTATAGTTGTCCCCGGTTCGACATCCTGCGCTGCTGTGGTTCCACAACACGCACGTATCTACACAGTTAACGTCAAACGAGCTGTCTTAAAAAAAAACTTTGGTGCCATGAGTGCTGACAATTGTGCTGGAAATGTGTCTGTGCCTTTACGAAACATCCTGAACTCCATCCAGTGTATCAGAGATCGAGTCAGAGGTAAATGTAACGCGTTTTGATGTGACGCAGCTATACGCCTGCAAGCACATGTCAAGCTATCTGTGCTAAACTTACAAATTATTATTATTATTATTATATTACTAAAGCTTAATAGTTCTTTTTAATGTACGCTGAGCTCAGGTTTATCTGCTGGTTGTTTTTAATTTAACAGAGTGAGTTTTAAATGTGTGTTACCTTCCGGTTTGTTTACTAAACTGAGTCTCAGTCTTCTTTATTGATTAATCTTTCTAGCGTTTTCTCAGTTAATCGATTCATTGTTTGGTCCATAAAGTGTCAGAAAGTAGTGAAACATGTTGATCAAATGTCTTGTTTTGTCCACAACGAAGACATTCAGTTTACTGTCATACAGGACTAAATAAATGAGACAATTTGGACTATATTTTCTTAATAAATGACTCTAAATTAATAATTTATTATCAAAATAGCTGGCAAATAGTTTAATAATTGACAACTAATCGATTTTACAGTTTTTTAAAACAGAGAAAAGTAGCAAATCCTCACATTTGTGAAGCAATTTGAAGAATAGTTGTCATTTCTACTGATTAAACAACTGAAACAATTATTTGATTATAAAAAAATCATTGCAGATTTGTTTTCAAATCAGCTGGAGACATTTAAAGTAAATTACAAAATCAGGCATTAAATGAACATCTATTTCAGTATATATATATTAACCTGGAAGAGTGAAGATTTGTGTAACCGAGTGCTCATTTTCCACCACAGACGGAGAATCCAATGAGTCCGATGGAGCGTTCAACCTCTCCAACTTCTGGGACACTCTGAGTTGAGTATAGTTTATCAGGACATCCTCCTCCTGTTTGTTGTTCATGTAGGGCAATCTAAATGTAAATATAATAAAGTACCACCCCATCATCATCCTGTTCCATGCAGAAACACATAAAGCCACCATGGAATTAAATCGTGGTCTCAAAGACATTAAGTGGGACCTTTTTTAAGGTGATGTCATGTTTTTTTTCTGTCCTCAGACCAGGCGGTGAAGACCGTGTCCCAGGAAGCCACTAAACTCAGCCTGGCCTTCTCCAAACCTCCGCTTCCATCACAACAGGTCAGATTATTGTTGGGCTCATAATGCCGCAGCTTGAAAACAGCAACACGGTTAAAGTGTGATAGATAGATAGATAGATAGATAGATAGATAGATAGATAGATGGCAAACAACATATGGACACTGAAAGGGTTAGAAAAGAAATAAAATAACAAAACTCTGAGTAACTATAATCTTTCATTAAAACATGAACCCAAACTTAAACCATACCCTTAAATATATACGACGATAATGCTTCGTATGCTTTTCATTGGTGCTGGAAGTCTAGTAAATCATGTATATTGATGTATTGAATTGGTCCAGTGTGTTGGATTTAGTGGCATTGAGCAGTGTAGTTGCTGATTTCAACCCCCTCGCCTCACTCTCGTTCCAAGCGTGTAGGAGAAACTACGGTGGCCAGGTGTCCTGCTCAAGTTGCTTTGCTTTTTGACAGATAGACTGTGGAGGAAACAGGAAATGTTCTTGATGATGCAGAACAGTTTGTGCCTCCTCCTCCTCCTCCTCCTCCTCCTCCTTCCTGCTAGCAGCTCTACAGGCTCCAGACTGTTCACCAGCCTCGTCTGATTAATTCATTCAGTTTCTGTCACCGGCTTTATCTCTACAGATGGCAGCAAGAGAATACTGCAGATTTGACGCGGCAGCATTTTGGTGACGTCGGTGCATCTGGTCACATTAGCGCTACAAAGAAATGATTCTAAGCTCTTGAATTGTCACATTAACTTGTCATTATAACTCCCACATATTTATGTGTTTTCTGTCTCCCTCCTCTCTGCAGGATGGAGAGAAGTTAGCAGAATCCATCATGAAGAGTGTGCTGACTCTGTCGACAGTGTATTACTGGCTACCTAAGAGCCAAGGTAACACCGCCACAGTCCAGGAACCGGCCGGTTGGCTGTGCTTGAGTCAAGCAGGCAGTTCAGAAGAATAATGTGTTTCCTGTGTTCTCATTTATATATTATTTTGGTAATATGTTTTTTCTATTTCTGCTGCAGAAATAACAGTAATAGTAGATGATAGCTGTTTCTTTCTGTGCATACTGATATTTCCTGCAGCCCTACAAATGTACATGTAGAATCATACAATCACAGGATGGTAAAACTCAGACTAGACTTGTTATTGAGTAAACAACAACATGCTGCCAAAAGTTTGTTGTGTCTGCTGTTTGAGTTAAAACGGGACGTACATTTCTGACAGAATCTTGACTTCAGCTCTCTGCCGTCTCTGCTCTCTGTGTCTCAGGTATCAGTCTGCGCCGACAGGTCAGAGACGCCACGGTCGAGGTTCTGGAGGGAGTCGCACAGCTGGTGGAGGTCATACTGAGCTCACCGCTACAGAGGTACACACACACATATATCAGATATTATTGTAAGTTATAATTGATAACCACAGTAGAACGAGACACAACCTCTCACACACACACACACACACACACACGCTGTCATATTTCAATTAGTAGTTTAAACATTTTAATTGGTGCTGGATTTATTAATGTCAGTGTTCGATAAAGAATAAACAACCCCCAGCCAAGAAAGTTTTCAAGTTTGTTTGTTTTCTTGAAGATTTATTTTGTGACTTTTTTGAAACACGTCAGCAGAAAAACATTTAAGTACAAATTCAAAATACAGAATATGAAGCCCCCTTTTAAAGAGGACACACCTAAATACATTGGCTTTACAAGTACTGACAGGGAGAGTGTGAATACTTATGGAAACGTATTTTGTATTTTACATTTGTCATGAATTTAGATAATTTTGTATATTTCTGTCGTTTGATTCTGATTCTTATGCACCAATTTACCGAAGCAAATTCTTCGTATGTGAAAACTTTTTTTGGCAATAAACTTGATCCTGATTCTGGTAATGGATAATTTTTCTGTTGAAAAAGCTAAAAATGCCAAGTGTCTTTAACACTTTAGTTATTATACAGTACATAATCCACATTAAATAAACTGAATAAAATTAAAAGTATAACAGACTGTAGCTCATGCAGCACCTACAGTAAACTTTAAAACATGATTCCGATTATTTTCAGTGAAGAAGGAGTTTTGTCTCTCTCTGCTTTCTTTTTATCTGAGTTCTTCCACCTCTTCCTCGTCCTCTTCTTCTGCTGACCTGTAGTCTGACCCAGGAACAGCTGACATCAACAGGAAGTGTGTGGTCAGCCTGCGACCAGTTTGCCCAGTTGCCACAAGGTCAGCAGACTTTAGAGAATAAAAGATACAGCTTTGATAGATGGATTTGTTAGTGGAGTCAGGTACACTTTGTTTTGGTTCAACCCTACACTCCCTCTCTTTTCTTGTGTTTTAAAGTTACAGTGGCACTAGCAGTATAATGTTAGATCAATGGCAGCCTGCAGGTGGTGATATTGTACACAAAGTCTGACTTTTTTTACCAGAAAAGTTTCTTTACTCTTTATTTTATGAAAATCAGCAGTCAGATTATCCACATTTAATAAGGAACCTGTGTGCGAATCTCTCTGCTGCTCTCCACCTTGGGGATCAGTAATATTTATGTATGTTTAAGTATTTTATTTTCATAGCAGCAGATTTACATGCATAAAACATACATAAAAACCTATAGATGAAACCTATCTATAAATAGATATAAATACATAATAAAAATACCATGAAACAAAAAGCAGTGATAGAAAGGGTGTACAGTCTGAGTGTTTTTTAGTTTGAAAATTAAATAAAACTTGTCACCAATACAGGAAGCTACTGAGGTACGTAAGGCTTTCTAAACAATTAAAATCAGTTCTAAAGTATAGAGCTAGAGAACCACATTTATAGTGTCAGGCAAAGGTAAGGGTTTAATTTCCAGCGATACTGATAATTTCACTCAGAGTTTTGCTTAAGGACAAATGGAGACAGAGCTACAGTATGAAGGACTGGTTGTGCAACATTGGCTTCATTCCAAAGCCAAATGTGTTCTAACGTATACTCTGTGTATCTGTTGTATCTGTTGTATCTGTTGTATCAGTTGTATCTGTTGTATCAGTGGTCTGACACGGCACTTCTGACAGATCTACATGTCGATGTATTTATGGCTTGAACTTAAACTCAACTCAACACTGTTTATATAGCAGTAAACACACAGCCGATCCAAAGATTGTCCTCATCCTCTGTGACGAAGCATCATAGCATTTAACTTTTAACTTTACTCACTATATTTACATGTTGAAATGCTTTTGTGAATTTTTCGTAAACAGAAACATGTGGGAGTTTATGGTGAACTGCTGAATCTCAACAGATGTACTTTTTAAAATTCTTAACTGCAAAAATCACAACTAAATAACGGTCGTGTACCGTTGGAGTTTGAGTGAGCTGTGAATAGCTCTGTATGGAGTCAGTCACTGAAGCTTCAGTCCCTGTGGCGAAGCAGTTGATTAATCAATAATCAATCAACAGAAAATTCATATTTAAGTCAGTTATTGAGTAAATATCCAAACATTAGCTTGTTCATTCAATCAGATTTCCTCTGTACGTTATGAGATAAAGGTGGACCTGACGTCTTTTTAAGGGAGGATGATATAAAAGAAGTTCAAGTTAATCTCTTTTATAGATATTTCTCTTTTTTTGTCTTTAGATTTCAAGTTTCCTTTTTGTTTTATTGATGGGAAAAGGTTGTTTTTTTCCACAGATAATAAGGGAGCGGTGCTGGTGGTTCTGTCCGCTCAGATTGGAGTTGTGAAAGACGCCATAGAAGAAATTGAACAGGTACACACACACACACACACACACACACACACATATATAGTGGCTGGTGCTGTGTTTATCTCCACTGCAAATAGAAGCAGGCTTTTATTTGACACAGTGTGGTATTCCCAGAATATGTCCCTGTTTCCATGGCACCTGTTGTCTTTTATAATTGAAGATAATCAGTGGGGAAACATATTCACCTCACACTGCTCACACTGAGTTTTTCACAAATGCAGGTTAAAGGATGAGGCTGGTGATGAGTTGGCTCATTGGTTTTGATCTTTTCATGGGATTTGTTGACTTTAATCCATAATAACATTGATTATTAGCTGCAGTCCAATCATTAATCTTCACAATAATACAGCTCTTGCTTTAATACACTGAATTTTGCAGGCGTTATCCGAGGCCCACGACCCATTCAGTGACGTCCTCGATGACGACCAGGAAGGGGAGGAGCCTCGTGGCAACCAGGACACTTATTGGTCGGAGAAAGACCGGTGCATAATCGGTCCGTGCCAGGGGCTGATGAAAGCCTCTGCAGCGTGCCTGAGGAAGCTGACGTCGGCCGTCAAAGCCAACGGTGACGTTACCACAGCTCAGAACGTGGCTCAGCTCGACGACCTGGCCGACATCACCAAGGAAATCAGCCCTGGGTGCGTACACACACACACAGAAGTTCATATTATCATAATGCTTTAGCGTGTCAACACCAACAAGAAAAACACTGCACAAAATCACAGCCTTAAATTACCGTAATTATTAGAATATAAGAGTAATGTTCTTGGTTTTATGGGTGTCTGCTCACCAAACAGATTATGTAAACTTCAATTTGTGAATGTGTGATAACCAA